CAAATACAAACTCTATGCTGTAGGCTGTGAGAATGCAGGAATGAACAAAGAGATAAAGCCCTCGCCTTCACAGATCTTCTGTTTTATTGGGAGAGACAGACTACGAGCAAATAAACATATAAATATATCATATAATTACGGGTAACAATAAGGGCTCTGATGGGAAAAAGCTGGGGATTGAGGGATGGAATAGAGATGGGGGGAGGATACTGGGAGAGGGGTGGGCAGCAAAGACTTCTCCAAGGAGGCTCCATTTGAGATGACACTTGAATGAAACAGGGAGGAAATGCAGGAAAAGACCTAGGAGGAGCAGGGCAATGACCTGAGGTGGAAATTAGCTTGAAGCAGAGTGAGCAAGGGACAGAGCTGGCAGATACCAGCTTAGCTGGATTTTTGCTCTCATCTGGACCAAGAGCAAAGGAGAGGGCTTCCAGGAGTGAAATAACATGACCTGAGTCATATTTTACAAAGATCACGTTGGCTACGGTCCCAGACTAAGTACACTGCACGAATCATGCTGGATTAGACTCAAGGCGCAGGAGTGGAAACAGAGGGACAGTAAGGGGACGAACATTGGTCCAGGTGAGACATGATAACGGATTTGACTGGGATGATAGTCTGGGGGTGGTTGGATCCACCATCTATTTGGAAGGTAGAGCTGATAGGATGTACCTGATGAATCAGATGTGGGCTGTGAAGGGGTGTTGACAATAACTGGATAAGTGGTGGACCATCAGGAGGAAGAGACTGGAGGGAGGATGAATGTGTGAGGGAATCAAGGGTTCTGTGGTTGATGTTATAATTTTGAGATGCGTGCTGGACATCCAAATGGAGCTGCTGCGGAAGCACTAGAGTTTGGGGAGAAATCCTGAGGGGGTATTTGGAAGTCATCAGTATCCAAGGCATTGAAAGGTATGGATTGGGTGATACCATCCAGGGGCAGTTGGGGAGATAAGGGTTGAGTTTAATAGCAGCAGCAGCAAATCGTCTAGGTATTCTCGAAAGGAGTGACTCGCAAACCTTCATGTGTATGGGAGTCACCTGCAATTTGATCCCCTGTGATTTGTTTACTAAGCAGGTCCCAGGAACTAGCCTTAGAAGCTCTGGGTCTTTGTGGTGAAGCTTAGGAAGACGAGCAGCCCCAGGTGATTCGAATGCTGGTGGCGAATGCTGGTGATACTTTGAGAAACTGCCCTGGGGAATAGGTAAAGAGGCGCGTTGGGAAATGGAGGGCAAAGAATCATGCCTGGGTTGGGGCCTGGTAGCAGGATCCTGAGACTGTTTCCGTTCCCTCCAGGGCCTTCATGAGGCCTTAGCCTCCACCAAGCCCTCCTCGCTTGTGCAGGTAAAGGCATACAGGTGTGGCACCCTCCTCCCAGACCTTTGCTGATAGCACCTTCCTTGACCAGCACCCCTCCCCACGCCTACTCCAGAGCTAACGAGCTCAACAGATGAGCTCATTTACTAAAAACTCTCAGCTGCGCCCTCGTGATGGGCTGCGATTGTCTCAGGAGCAACACAGCACCCGTGAGGCCGCTGGCTGGGGTCTGCCAGACGGCTGCCCGGCGCAGGCGCGGCGAAGAGCGGAGGGACGGCAGCCTGCTTCTCCTCGAGGTGGGAGGTCGCCGGGTGAGTCTTCTAACTGCGTGTTGGCTGCCGGGGTTGGGGGTGCGTGGTGGTGTTTTGCACACCTGTTTCTGTGTCTCCACACCTATGGCTGTGAGCTCAGCCATCAAGTGGGTCATAGCACAAAGGCTTTCCCATCTGAATCTTCAGCCCTGAGTTCTCACCGAGTGCCAGGCCATCCATGCCAATGGCTGGAGGACCTTCTCCTTGGCTGACCTGTCATATCGACTCCAGAACTCACCACTTCCCCTCTTGCTCCTTGCCCACATGTCCTTCTGTGGCCATATTTCACTTTTCTCCTCATCCACATTCGAGTACAGTTAGTAATTCTGATTCCTATTTTTCTCACTCCAGTCCGCCATCAAATCTTGCCAATTCTCCCTTCAAAATCTCTTTTGAATCTGTCACTTCCTCTCTGTTCCCACTGTCCCTGATCGTATTGTCATTTGATGGGATTATCATTTCAGTCTCTGTTACGGACTGATTGTGCCCTCCTCCTTCATATGTTGAAGCCCTAACCCCTAACGTGACGGTATTAGGAGGTGGGGCCTCTGGGATGTGATTAGGGCTAGATGAGGTTGTGAGTGGAACCCTCATAGTGGAAAAAGTGTCCTCATAAGAAGAGGAAGAGAAACCAGAGCTCTGCTACCTCCCCTCCCCACCCCCCACCGCCTCCGTCCCATCCCACTATGTACGTTGCCGGAGAAGGGGCCACACTGAAGTCCTTAGCCTCATCTGCAATCAGGAAGAGAGCCCTTACCAAGAACTGAATCTGCGAGCACCTTGGTCTTGGACTTCCCAGCCTCCAGAACATGGAGAGATAATTGTATGGTTTTGAAGCCACCCAGCCTAAGGTATTTTGTCATGGCAGCCTGAGCTGACTCCTACAACCTCCCGTTCAGTTTCTCTGCCTCTTGCCTCCATCCCTTGTGTGGAATACCAGTTTCTCTCATGGCACTCACTTGCCACTGATTACAATAATACATTTGTTAGTCTACTGATTATCTTCATACCCAGATGGAGCCCTCCACAAAGCCATGCATCTTTTATTCACCACCTGGGACCCAGGGCCAAGCACCATATCGAGCACATGGTATGTGCTTAATGTTTCATGAAGAAATCAAATGCTGACAGTGAATGCCTCCAACCAGTTCTCCCTGCAGCCTGCTTGGTCCCTTTGGACTCATGCCTTGTACAGGACCAGGGTTATCTTTTTTAAACACTAATTTCACCTCACTCAATCCTTCTTTGTCAGTGTTTACTGGGCCCCAGCATCCTTTTTGAATGTTTGTGGGAGCTCAGGTGAAGTTAAGACCAAGCTGATCGGGAGGAAGGTGTGGTGGGCACTGAAAAAAATGTTAAATGATTAATAAAAATTTTTAATTGTGGATTTGCTTGAAAAGAAACCCTCAAACCCATAAGCACTACAGGAAATAGATGAGTCATGCCTTCCAGTATCTAGATTGGGGCTTGATAAAACCAGCCCTAACCGCTCGGACTACCTCACATGGCTACCAGCATGCCGTCCCAGGTGGGCACAGGGACAGCCCCCCTTCTCTGCTGTTCACATTGCAAGGCTCAGAGACCCTCCACCCGCACTGCCCTAGGGGCTCCATTCAGTGCAGCGGGTGGGTCCGTCTCGGGGGCCATGGATATGTTCCGTGACAGTGCGTGCACTGGGAGTGGTGTGGGGTGGGGATGGAGACCTTCGAGGGAAGACAAGGAAGACTCTTTGACTACAGCTATTTACAAATTTGGGAAAACACGGTTCAACAGAATTTCCTCTTCAGTCAATGCCAGCCCATTTCCCCTCTCTCCTTACTAAGAGGAAGTTCCGTTAGCTCAGAGAAACGCAGAATCATATATTCCTCAGCCTGGAAAACCCTTCAAGGAGGTTACTCAGTGTAAGAAACAAACAAGGCCATCTCTTGGGGACTTCAATCTAAATTCCCAAGAAGCCTGGAAGTGTCTCATCACTGTTTGGAAGAACGCTCTCAATTTCTCCCACGGTCCTGGCTGTGCTGGGTGGTCAGAGAGCAGCTTGAGAGCAGAGGAGACATGGCACGGACTCCCACTCCTTCTGCAGAAGGGATGCTTGCAGCCACAGCCCACATCCTCAGACTCCACTCTTGTCCAACTGTTCTGTGCTTCCTCTCTCCCATCCAAACTGGCCCCGGTTCCTTGAGGATGATGCCCCTTATTCTCTGAGTCTTTACCTTCCCCTCTCCACCGGCCTCCATCCAACTTGCCTCCAGGGTCTTTGCTTTGGGGGCAACAACCATCTCTAACACTCATTTCCAGGAGAAAATGACCAAGCCCACACACCTCTTACCAATTTGGCAAGTCCTTCAGGGCAAAAGTCTGAGCAGGTCCCGAATGGTGTGAGATTAGTCAAGTTCTCTGAAGGCGATAGAATCGTTACTTCCCCAGAACTGGTTATTTCCTCAGAGTAAAAGGGGCGAGGCATCGCTGGAGATGACACAGGGGAGAAAGGGACACTGTGTCCCCAGCCACCTCCTGGAGGATCCAGGCTGCGACAAAGAACAAAGTGTACCCGAGAGCCCTGGGTCTGCTCCACCCGCTGGGCTGAGCTTGGTGACAGCTTCAAACCCACATGTGGCTTTTCGTGGAAGGAGCAGGTTGCTTTTAGAATTGAATACAGGTGGCTTCCGCACTTATGAGAAGCACCCTTGGGACACACTTACAGGTTGAGGGGAGCAGCTGGTGGGGCTCCAAGGATGCCTGGTTTGCTGCCTTCCTGGAAGAGGGGCTGTCGGGATCTTCTTTCAAGTTATCAGAATATACATCTAAAACACTGTTAGATCCCACTCCTGATTTTCAGTGCTTTGAGAGAATCCTCTGCATGCTCTTCCACGGTACATACATTTCCATTCTTTCATTACATAACATACTCTTTACATGACACTGCACTCAGTATCCTTCCTTACATACTCTTTCAGCAATTTCCTTACGTTTTTCACGATCTCTTTCACGTCCACCCGTTTCCAAGAAAAACTATTCATTTCCCTTTACTTCTCTAAAAGCCAATGACAGCTACTTAATGCACGGAACTCTACACACTTGGCACGTGTTAAACCCTTTGTGTGTGATCTCATTTAAGCCTTACAACATCCGCCCAAGGGGAATTATTTTTTCCATTTTATAGATGAAGAAGCTGGAACTTAGGATAAGAAGCCTGCCCAAGGTCACAGACAACGTGAGCATGAGGACCTGCACCTGATTTGAGCCTGAGTCCTCAGTCCTGGTACCTTAAAGCCATATCAAACATCTTATTTATTATCATCCTCAATCATCAACGATTTGTGTTGTCCACTAGCCATGGTGTCATCAGAAATCTGACCGGTTTCACAAGATTCCTGTGGTCCTGACACTTTATTGGGAGGGAAAATACACACCACTCATTTACAGAGCTTTGTGTTCAAGGCACATTCACATCCACGTCCTTAGTGGAACCTCACATCCCTATGAATGAAACGAGTCAGGCAACATTTTCTGATTTCACAGATGAGGAAAAGTTACTTTCCCAAGGTCACATAGCTAGAAACTGAAATTGGAATTAGAACTCCTAGGCCCTGGAAATATCCAGAATTCTTTCACTATACTACGTGGCCTCTTCAATAAATAAATGAACAGAACAAATAAATAAACCTTCCTAGGAAATGCAGAGGGACCCTCCATCAAACCTGGTTCCAGAGGGAGTTATCAGACTGGCACCTACAAGCTTCTTGGAAGAGTGGAAGGGGTTCTGGCTGGATTCCCTGAGCCTGATGTCTGTTCCCAGGATGCCCCGGAGGACGTGGGGCTAAGGCATGACTCAGGGAGGTATACCCCAGACCTGTCACCCCTCCCAGCTTCCCTGCCCATGGACTGTAAAGTGGCTTTGAAGACAGATTCCAAACTGACTGTGGGGAAGCAGTGCCCCCTTTCCGGGCCCAGGATCCGGCAGCTGTCTCAGCATGATGCCATGGACTCCAGCTAGACCTGTTAGCCCTCAGCCTGAGAAAGCAGCTGGCTCTGTGCAGACGTGGGTCCTGCAGTCCACTTCCTCCCAGCCCCGGGGCAGAAGGGGTTGGAAGTGTCATCCCAGAAGTCAGCTTGGCTTGGCTGACATCCAGCATGGAGGGCCCTTTAGAGACTGAGTCCTTATTTCATAGATGGGGTACCTGGGGCCCTTTGAGACATGGCTGGTCCAAGGTCACACAGCTGATTACTGGGAGAACAGAGGGTCTAGCCCATGGGCCCTGTCCTGTGGGTCTGTAGCTGGACGTTAGCCACAAACCCAAGCGTAGGTCCCGACCTTGACCCTCTTGGGCAGATGAGGTGGTGACTGAGCTCAGAGGCCACTTCAGACCCTGAAGGGCTGAGTCTGGACCAGCACAAACTCACATGGTTTCTCTGGTACTGTCATCAAGACGGTGGGGCAGCAGGGTGAGGCTAGTGAGTGGCTTGACCACTCCAAGTGTCCCAGGGAGATGCGTGCTATTTGCTCAAAAGAGGGAGCTGTCAGCAGATGGGCACGAAACATCCCCAGAGGGTGGGTTCTGAGCCAGAAGACCTTCTGGGTCTCAGCTCCCTCCAGCCCCTGCTCTCTCCCTTTCCCCCTAGAAATGGCCCCTGAACCAAGACCCTGAAACCTCCATCCTCCCAGCCCTCCATCCTTCATCCAGAAGCTCCATGCTTCATCCTAAAGGGGGAGGCTTGGCTCTCTGAGCTGACTTCAGCCTGGTGGCCTCACCATGACTCCCCAAGTCCCCATGATTCCCCTGAGCAAATAATCCTTTACCATACAGAAAGGGACGAGGAGGGAGGAGGTCTCTGCCCTGCCCTTCTCAGCTCTGCCAGAGTGGGCAAACCAGGCCAGTGCCATCCAAGTACCCTGTGCTAACTTAGTGCAATCGCTTCTTCCTGCCCGGAACACCTACTGGGTCTGGCTAGTGCTGGTCCCACTGGGCTTGCAGAAAAGTGCCCAGGTTGGCCCTGTGTTTCACGTCTGTCTCCCAGGGCCTCTCCTCCTGGTCGGGGCAGAGTGTAGCTGAAACCAAACGCAGCCCCTTAGCCTGAATCACTCATTCGTGAGCAGACTGGAGATCAGTGGCAGGGCGCCCATGTCTGAGTCAAAGTTGTCCAGGAGACAGCCTGGGGTGGCCACAGGGTCCCTAGGGGCAAGGTCATGGGCAAAACTCCAGTCAGACGTTCTGTGCTCACCACAGCTGGTTAAGCTCAGGAGTGACCATTCTTCAATTGATTGGTTCCATGGTCCAGCTGGGTCCCCGGAGGGAGCAAGAGGCATTTCTGGGGGTTCCTGTTTCATATAGCCCTTGGCCAGGGCTGGTAGAGGCCAGCCCATCTCAGTACCTAGGCACATCCTGAACTGGGGGCCAAGGCCATCTGCTGAAGAGGACTCTTCTTCCAGGAGGCCTGACTTGGCTGCCTTCTCCTCTGTGCATCTGGTCTGCTTCAGGTAGCCCTGGAACGCCCCTGCAGCTGGGCCTTCTTCTGCAGGCCCCTCAGGCCCCTGGGGACTGCCATGGCCTAAAGCAGAGCCACCTGGCACATCCTGAGGCTGTCTTTCAGAGTTTTGGACCAGGCCAATGCCACTGTCATCCGGGTCCGGGCTGTCACTCCCCACCTGCGGCTCCCAGCTGGGCTCCGTGCCAGGACTCAGGCTGGGCTCCCTTAAGCAGATCCCGCTGTCTGTGCTGCTGCTGCTGCCACTGCCACAGCTGTTCTCCAGTGACGGGGGTGCCCCCTTTCCAAGAGTCCCCCCAGCCTGGGGGTGGGGGGCAGAGAGGAGGAACTGGGGCTCATCGGTCTGCAGGGATGGCTTGGCACTGCCAAAGCCACTGTCTGTGCTGCCGTGCAGCTCCGAGTTCCTCAGCTCTGCGGACACCTTGGGGAAGGCCTCTTCGTCGAGGGGATGGATGGTGTCCTGGGTCTCTGGGCAGGAAAGCTGGCTGGTGAAGCTGAAGGGACCGTGCTCTTTGAAGACCTGGGGAGGAGAGGGCAGAGTTGAGAGGGTCACTGTAGGAACCCCACCCCAGTGTGGCCAGGGGAGGCCACGCGTCTAGGAGGGGAGCTAGACGAGGTCTTGCTCCGACAGAGAGGGGACAGCAGGGCCTGGATGACACCACCACCTTTCTGTTTTGTTTCAGAATTGAGTTTTCCTCCTAATGCAATTCTCAGTTTGACTAGCCAGATACCTAAGAAGCCTGTGTTCTCAGAGCTCAGGATGATGGGCAGCATTCTTACATGTTACATAAGAACCTGTACATAAATAGCCCAGAAATCTCTCTCTTAGATAATCAAACCCAATTTCACAAAATAATAATGTGTACTGTGACCTGCTGTATTGTGTTCTGTCCTGTCCTGTCCTATTCTATCACATTCTATTCACTTCATTTTTAAAATGCTGGATGTGAGACACCGAGCTAGTTTCTCCACTCCCTGAGTGCACTCACGCGGCATGGCTGCAGTGTGGGGCTGTGGGACAAGCACAGGACCAGCAGTTTAGGAGCCCTTGCTCCCCATTAATTGCCAAGAGTCCCAGGGAAGTCACTTCACCTCTCTCCCCATTGCTCTTTGGCCTCAGCCACATTGGTGTTCTTTCTGCCCTGGAACACCTCGGCGCAGTGCAGTCTCAGGGCCTTTGCACATGCTACTTGTTCTGCATGGAATACTCTTCTCTTAGCACTTTGCATGGCTGTATCCTCCTTATCATTCAGGTCTCAATACAGATGTCATGTCCTCAGAGAGGCTTTCCCCAACCCCTTGGTTAAAGCAGTGCTCCAGGCAGTTTCTTCACATAGTCTATTTTTGATTAGCACTTAGTTCCTGGAGTTATTTGTTTGTTTTTTGTGCTCCCACTCACATATACACACACATTCACTTCCCACCCCCAACAGAATAGAAATTCCTTGAGGACAGGAGCTGTCTGGTCTTGTTGGCCACTCTGTTCCAAGAGCTTAAACTGAGCTGGCACGGAGCAGGCACTCCTAAGGTTTGTTGACTGACTTACTGACTCAGTGTTGTACATGTGCCCTCATTCCCTTTATATGTGATGACTCTAATGCAACTCTTACTGGTTGGGTTCCTACTGATATCACATAGCTTGGTGACTAAGGATGTGTTTTCTGGAGCCAGACTTCATGGGTTCAAATTCCAGCTGTGCCTTTTACCAACCAAATCATTTATCCTCTCTGTGCTTTAGTTCCCCCTCTATAAAATGGAAATAAAGATGGTACCGCTTCCTCATGTCATGGTTAGTACATGCAACATACTTAGAACAGTGCCTGGTACATAGAAAGCACTCAACAGACACTTGGTAAGTTTACTTTTATTCTCCAGTAATTCTCTAAAGAAGTATTATTATCTCTATTTCCTAGAGGAGAAAATGGAACCTCAGAGAAGTTAAATGACTTGCCCAAAGTCACACAGCAGTAAGATGAAACCTGGAATTGGCAACTCAGCTGTGCTGATTTGAAATCCCCAGTTGTTCAGTAAGACTTACTTTGATGTATTGTTGACGGCTCAGATCACAGCTGCTAAGGAAGGAGAAAAAGCTAACACATGTGAAGGTGCTTTGTGTGCTGTAAGTTATTCATAGAGTTAGTGATGACCATGACCCTTAGGTGAAGGGAACTGGGCTGTGTTTATCTTGAGGAGGAAAAAATTCTCAAGGACAACTCAATTCTGTGGTCCAAGCGTACAGAAGGAACAAAAAGCCCAGAGGTTGTTTGTCACCTCCTTTGGCATTTTGCATCTATGTCTATTTCACTGGTTTGCATTAAAGTTAATAGTTCACACATTGGCGGAGCCACCAGGCCATGATCAAGCCCTCTGGAACCGGAGGCCACATTACTCAGCTGCTTCCTGCACATTTTGCATGTTGTAGGTGCTAAGTAACTGTAGCTCAGTTGCTACCTCTCCCTTCCTAGATGCCTTTCCTCAAGCCCAACTAAGACCCTCCCATCCGGTACTGGGACCAGCCCTATCTCACTGCTCTGCTTTCTACTGACCCATCCCTGCGTGCAGGCCAGAGCTCTTACTCAAAATAATTTCAGATGGCCTTTGTTTCTCTCCTTATTTTTCCAAGAGATCCCCATGGAGGGTCCCCTTCCAGCTGTGAGCTTCCTTGGGGCCCCTGTATCCCTGATGGAACCCACCCTTCCCAGCCGAGCCCTCTATCATCGCAGTAACGTCAGCTGTGGGGGACACTTTTGGTCCAGTCTGAATCCCAGGCCACCAGGCCAGATGGACTGAGGTTGGAAATGCTCACTGCGGCAAATTGAGTTTTGGAGGCCAGCTGACCACAAATGCAGCATTTGTCAGCCCTGCAAGGCAAGTAGAGACCCTCTGGGAAGGGCCAGAGATGCTGGCCTCCTCTGCGGGGGGGGGGGCTCCTCTCAGCATCACGTCTCTACTCTGCTCTCCCCCGCCCTGGCAGCGGCCCTTTGTCTCCCTCTTCCTAGGCACTCATCCCCAGCCTCTAGGGGTGGGAGAGGCTGGGCTCCCGCCCTGGCTCTTCCTGGCTATGGGTCCCCCTGCAGGTAACAATCACTCTAAGCTTCAGTTTCCTCAGTTGTAAAGTGACGTTAATATCTGTACCTGTCTCGGAGGTACAGGGGCTGGTCTGTGGCCAATTATTAGCAAACAATAACAAAACGATGAGTAGGCGGTTGGGATTACTCAGCCCTCAGGTCTGTCTGGGCCACTGGAAGGCAACGGTCTCAGCACTGGGCTTGGCAACCAAGTCTTCCCTTGGCTCCCACAGTGCTTGACAAAGGCACCTCTGATAAGGTCAAGGTTGAGGGTGTGGACTGTCTAGGAGGGCACTTCCGGTCTCCTGGTGTGGCCAGGAAGGATGGCGCAGGGGCTCCCCTGTGAGACTCACCAGGACGGTGGGCAGCTTCCTCCCGCGCCGCACGTACAGCTGGAGGGCCAGGCAGTAGGCCAAGGTTCCGTAGAGCAGCAGGACGAAGATGAAAAAGATGCTGAGGTTGGTCACGGTGAAATCTGTGGGCCCAGAGAGATGCATTTGTGGCCTGGCACCATGTTCCATGGACGGGCGGTCCCTGGGGATCCTGTGACCACTCTCAGGAGCATCTCAGTGAGTGGCCAAGTGTCCCCCCCACAACCTGCCCCGGGCTACCTTTAGGTCACGACCCTGGAGGCCATGTCTGGGTTCCTGGGTATCCCTGCCTGGCTTTCTGCACCCTGCCCTGAAGGATTCCCTAGTAAGACACACTGACTCTGCTTCCAGCTCTCTGCACACAACTCACAACTCAAACGATGGCACAGAGAAGAGCGGTGGGGCAGAAGGGTGCAGCAGGTAAGAAGGGAGGCTCTGGGAGCACCCAGACCTGGCCTCAAATCCCAGCTCTACCACTTCTAGCTGTGAAGCTGTGGACAAACTACTCAGCCTCTCTGAGCCTCACTTTTACCATCTATAAAATGGGCAAAATGACAGTGTCTACCACATAGATGGTTGTGAAGTACATAGCACTTATCATTTACCAAATCCTTTATAATAGTCCCCCTTATCTGGGGCCTTGCTTTCCACAATTTCAGTGACCTGTCATCAACTATGGTCCAACAATATTAAATGGAAGAATTCCAGAAATAAGCAATTCATAAGTTAAATTGTGTACCATTTTGAGTAGCACAATGAAATCTCACACTGCCCTGCTCTTTCCCGCCCGTGACATGAATCATCCTTTTGTCCAGTGCATCCCACCCGTGAGTCACTTAGTGGCTGCCTCGGTTATCAGATCAACTGTGGTAGCATCCAGTGCTTTTGTTCAAGTAACCCTTATTTTATTTAATAATGGCCCCAAAGTGCAAGAGTAGTGATACTGGCAATTCAGATATTCTCTTAAAATTCTCTTAAATTTAGTTTATAAATTAATCATAGGTGTGTATATATAGAAAAAAACATAATATATATCCATGGTTTGGGGCATCCACTGAAGGTCCTGGAATGTGTGCCCAACAGATAGGGAGGGAACTCCTGTACTATGTTTTCTGATCCTCATAACATCCTTAGGAGGTAAATACTGTTATCATCCCATTTTTATAGATTAGGGTCCTGAGGTCCAGAGAGGTTAAACACTTGCCCAAGGTCATATCTGTCATAAGTGGTGAAGCTGAGATTTGAACCTAGACCTGTACATAGAACTTTCTATACCAGTGAGTGAATGTTGAAAAAGCTCTTAAGGATGCCTGGCACACAGATGGTACCTTACCCTCCTGCAGTGAGGGTGAGGCTTAAATAGCAATAAGCTCGTGCGTGTCCTCTGGAGACTGAAATGTACTAGGAAAGTAAGGAGTCCCTTTGGTCTTTCCCTGGACTGGGCACTCCCAGCACACTGACCGTTGGCATGATTTGTCAAGCATCTGATGTGTGGTGTCCCGAGTTGCTAGTTACAGCTTCTACTGGGCACACCCTGTCTTCCCAGCTAGACTGTAAGACCCTTGCAGGCAGGACCGCAGCCTTCACATCTCATATTTCCTTCCCTCCCTCCCCTTCCCAGAACTTGGCTGAGAGCCTGGCACAGTATTTGCTGACTTCCACAGCTGTGGGGAGAAGTCAGCTCAGTTCTGCCGCCTCTGAGTGGGAGGGAGGGAGTTCTGAGAAGCCCTTGATGCCCCCAGCTCTAAGAAAGGACAGCAGAGGAGTGGAACTAACAGGAACCATCACAGTTGACTGAGGGGGGCTGGGGAGGGGCTCCCGGGAGCGCAGTCAGGCTCCAGTGGAAACACTCGCAGAACTGGGAGACCTGGCTCTGTGGCCACACCCTAGAAGCTGCTCATGTGCACTGAACCTCAGTTCCTGCATCTCTAAAATGGGGATAATAGGAGCTCTGTCTTAGGGCTGTGTGAGGATGCAGAGCTGTGTGTGGGAGTGCCTAGTCCAGGGCCCCTCATTGGCAGCCCTCAACGGATGCTCTTCCGAAGTGCGAGGCCCCTCTGCCTCCCTCCCACCCAGAAAGCAGCCCTGACCGACTCACACTGTGGGGTTAGCGTGATGCACTCCTCCTTGGACCAGCTCCCGTTATTCACTCGGGAGCCAACAGACGGTTTCACCCTGACACAGAACTCTCCCAGCCCTCCTGGGATTTGGAGGCTGAAGTTTTCATGTTTTACCTTCTTCTCTTGTAACTGAAACAAAAATAATCATAGCAATAAACACAATGCCCTTGTTCCAGGGAACGCAGAAGCCGAGAGAGCTGGAAGGGCCTTAGAGATGCTCTAGGCCAACCCCCTTCAATGTTCTTTTTTCTAAGATAACAAACCCTGCATTCTCAACACAGCCCAAGATCTCTGAGGCTCCCATGACTTATTTTGTATTAAAAGAGAAAAGGAAGTATCTTATAGATACTGAGGACCTCCCCAGAAGGGGCTGAGATCAACTGTGGTGAAAAGGAAAGAGAGTGGATTCTACAGATTTCAGATCCCCCACCTATGGGGGTGAGGCATTTACACAGCCCCTCAGAGCCTCATTTCCCCATCTATAAAATGGAATAAAATGCCCACGGGCAAGAGGATTGGCAGCAATAGTCATACAACATCTCCTGTGGTACCTGACACTTAGGAGGCACTGCGTTGCCTGCCTCCTCGCAGAAGCAGAGGTTTGAGGGCTGACATCATCTCAACTCCTTCCCTGCGACGACCTCTGCTATGCTGGCCAAGTTCCCCAGGGATGCACAAGAGGCACTTCTAGACTGGGTGAAAGGGAAGGCTGGCCTGGGGGAAAGCCCGTACCTTACTGGGTTCTGGTACCTTGCGAACCTCAATTGTGTACTCGCGGAAGTGTGGGAAGATGCTTTCGTATGTGTCGCCTGCAGGGGCCACGCTGGGCCTGGGGGGGTGGATCGTCCCACGGATGACACCGCTGTACAACTCCAGCTTCACGCTGCCAACTGTCAGTGTCACTAAGTGGGGAGACAAACCCATGAGGCCTGCAGGCTGGGGAGGGCCTGGGTGCCCCATCCATGCCTGGCCTCCAGGGTCAAGCTTTAATCACTCTGAAACCCAGGCTACAGGACTCCCAATCGAGCAGGAGAGAAGAATGAATTTCCTGGGGAGCATGTTAAAAATACAGATGCCTGGGCTTCCTCAAGACACAGTGAATCTGACTTTTGGAAGCTGGGTCCTGGAAACATCTATTTTAAACACCTTCCTCAGCTAATGTCTCTGCAGCCAGCGGAGCACTGGCTGGTGGGCAGGCATTAGGGACACTATGACCTACGAGAGCACCCTTCTGGCTCCGACTTCTGCAGAGCAGTCTGGCCACACACTTAGAGGATGGTCAGTCCCAATCTGCACAATGAAAGAATCCCAACGAGTCTGGGCCTTATCCTTTCCTCTTATCTCTGCAGCGAGAAACTTCCAACTGCTTCAGTAGCACCTCCCTGCTTCAAAGCCTCAGACCTTGGCCCCTAAATTCATTCCTAAAGGGAGGAAGACCTGATCCAAATTCTGCCTACTGCCTGCTGCCCTGTGCTGAGGGCTTACGGATTCGCTTCCTCTCCCAGAACCCTGCAAGTGCACTGACCTGGGCTTGTGACTCAGCTGCCCCAACTCACCCCAAGACTTCTCTTCTGTAGGAGAAACAACTCCAGTTCCCTTTTTAACCTTGAACTATTTGGCTATTTTCATCTAAACTTTCTCCAAAGTCTTGATTCAGGCTTGTTTGGGCAACTAGGTCCCTGGCCAGGAAGCCAGGCAGACATGATGAACTATGAGAACAGAGAGAAAAGTTCTAGACTAGAGTTTCTGGCTGGAAAGGACCCTGAAAGCCATGTTCAAGGCCCAGGGGAGGAAAAGCACCTTCATCCATGGTGAAGCGGGTTTTGGGATGGGTCCAGTTGGAGCACTGGCTTCCGTTCACTGCCCGGACTTTGGCTAGGTAACCACTGCTGTGATACAGGTCCAGGGTCGCCATGGTGAGATCACAGGACAGCATCGGGGTCTGGCTACAGTTGGGGATAGGCTTCCAGAGATTTTCTCCATACCTGGGGAGATATTAGGGTAGGTATTGGGATGGGAACTTATGCTTAAACCTACCTCCTTTAAGAGGGAAGCAAGAGGCCAGAGGAGAGCTCTCATGATGGTACAGCCCTCAAGGGATCTCATCTAGTCCAGGGTATCTAAGTGTAAGGGGCTCTCCCTTCGTTCTGGGACCTGCACCAACTTCTGTGTGGTCTAGAAGACTCTTAGACTGGAATATCAGCTCAAATCCCACTCTTACTGGAAGTCCTCAAGGAAGACTTGCTACACTCCTCAGCATAGCCCAATTCCTTCCCTCTCTCAACTACGTCTGCCATCCTATGGGCTTCTTTGTTCTCCAGTTGTATTATGGATGCTTTTCCTATTTTTCCAATAAAATGGAAAAATCTTGGGAGTAAAAAGCAACACTTTGGCTTTCTCATCCCAGAGCTCCCACCACACTGCTCTGCAGTGTTGATCAGTGAGAGTTGATCAGTACTGGTCAACTGATGGCATGTGCCAGGGTCCTTCCTGGTGTCACTTCAGTAACAGGGCAGGTATCTCCCCTTGCCAGGGGGGTAGAAGGGGATGGACTTACACTCCCTCACTCACCTCCCTCCTTTCTCCATCTTCCCTTTTGCTTACCTCAGGAGCTCCACTTCATAGTAGGTACTTTCAGACTGATTTGGGATAGGTGTCCAATGGAGGACGTGGTGGAAGAATTCTGCTGCAAACCACGCAGATGGAGGCTTGGGCAGTTCTGTCCCTAGGGAGAAGAGGGTCAGTACCAAAGGTGGCAGATCCCACCCAGGGAGGAGATGACGATGACAGTGGTGACAAGCATTCTAAGAGCTCCGATTTATTGATCACTTTTCCTTGAGCTGAACACTCAGCTAAGTACTTTATATATATTGTCCCATTTAATTATCACAGTAATCCTACGGTAGGTATTTATTATCCCAATTTTACTAAGAAGAAATGAAGGCTCAGAGGGGTTAAGCGACTTGCCCAAGGCCAACAGGGGTAGTGAGGGGTAGAGTGAGCCCAAGAACCCATAGGTGTCTGATCCCAGAGCTTGTGCTCTGTCCTTAAAGCACCGTCCTGTGCTGTCTGTAATCGGGAGCAGAAGTGCTGGCTGAGAAGAGCCAAGCTGGGTCTGATGCATCTGAGGCAAGAAGGCAGGGGCTGAGGCTAAGATATGTTTGCAGTGAGCTCTCAGAAGAGCTAGTCCCTGCTCCAGCCCCATCCCAAGGTCTGCTCCCCATCCCCACACCTGGTCCCCACCCTGACTCCAGCCCTGACTTGAGCCCAAGGTCCCCTCTCTGGAGTTCTTTGGGTACACAGATGCCCTGCTTGTTGGCATCTATCTTTCTCTTCACAGGACCCCAAGCTGAGTGCTTGCCCCATTCCCTAGCGTCTAGGAGGCCTTTACTCTAGCCAGATGCCTCAGGCTGGGTGAGGACAGGCAGTCCTGGTTACAGACTGGGCTGAGGACATTTCCACAAAGAGCTGGAAAAGAATTGCTAATCACTCTAGCAATTGCCCCAACACAATCACTTAAAGCATTTTAGTATGCTTCCTTCCCCTCTTTCCATTTCTATACATGGGTTATTTTTAAAAACTGAGGTACATACACGTACTTTAAGGGTCTTGCCCATCAAGTGCAATGAGGTGGGCCAAGGCCACAGTCAGTTCCTCTCCTGTCCTCCTTTATCCCTTACTGCCTCTCCATTTGACATTCCCCTGTTCTCTAACTTCTCATCCTTCTAATAATGCTTCTTTTCTCTGTCATTCTCACTTAGAAAGCACACTGTCCCTGTCCCTTGCTGTCTTTCTTATACTGTCTTTGATCCTCAAATCTGTGTCTCGATTTCAAAACAGTAGATGGAAAGTGAAAAATGCAGTAGGTCTTTGTGGTGTTTGGGTGGAACATCCCCATTTCAGCACTCAATCATGTGAACGGCTGACTGCATGTTTTACTTTGTTTTCTGGCGTCACGTAGAAGCGGTTTCAGTCTCTGCTCTCCCTGCCTTTGCTCTTGGTCCCTCCAATTCCCTGCCCTTTCATTCCCTCTCTCCAGGAGACTGAGCTAAGGGGTAGCAGTAGGCAGGAGGAAGGCAGGTGACAGTGGGAGTGCCGTTAAGATCCAAGGAAAGAGAATGGATAATCAGATGTGGCTGACAGGTGGTAGTAGGGGGAAAGAGCTGAGATGGGGGTGAGATGGCACGGGGCAGAAACAGATTAATCTGAGAGCTAAGGGTAGGTAGAGTCAAACTGAGATCAAAGTATCTCCTCAGAGGGACGAGTAGTCCCATCATATGAACTAACAACAAAAAAGCCACGGCTAAATTTATGACTCATATCGATGTGGGTGGACAGTGAGTTGGGAGGGGGTGATATAACTTCTCTATCCACACTCCCTACTCCCCCAATCAGTTTCAGCCTCCTCTATTTCCACAACGGGTGAGCCTGAGGCTTGCCAGATTGAGGGAGATTCCAGGAGGGGGAAGATAATGGGTTCCCCTCTCCAGAGAGGGCCAGCCAGACGGGGGTTCTCCGTGGGACGTAGAACTTTAATGTAGGGAGTGGGAGCGGGGTGGAGGGGCGCGGAGAGAGCAGAGCAGGGCTAGACCCCGGATCCTTACCATGCGCACGGGAGACGAAGCGCAGGCTAAGGAGCGCCGCCAGCGGCACTACCAGGCGCGGCAGCATCCTGGGCGCGCAGCATCCTCTGAAGCGAGAGCCGGAGCCGGAGCCGGAGTACGTGCCTCCAGCCGTCGGTACGCGAGGCTGCTACTGAAAGCTCCGGCGGCGCTCCCCGCTCGCCCGCGCCCAGCGAGGCTGACGTCGGAAGGGCGGGGCCTCGAGACGCCCCGCCCCCGGAGGCGCTGCGCCCCGGAGCCAGCGCAGCAGCCGAGCGCAGACAGCGCAGGCCCACGTTGAGGAAGCAGGGTCCGGGTGGGTGTGTGCGGTGCCGGGGCGGGGGCGGGGCCCTGGCCGACTCTCACTCTCCTAGCCAAGAGAGAGAGAGAGAGAGAGAGAGAGAGTGTGTGTGTGTGTGTGTGTGTGTGGGTTGGGGTGCAGGTGGCGAGGGACAACCCTGCCCCGTGGGTGCAGAAGATGGGGTGAAGATGTCAGAGCAGATTGTACAGGCCGAGTGGGGTTGGGGAAGGAGATTGTCCCAGGCACTCAGGGGATGTGTGCGAGGACACCTGTGTGAGTTTGGTGTTGCCGGAGTACCTCGGTGCAGGCCTCTGAGCTAAACCAGTCGTACAGTGGGCAGCCTTCTACCTGCCTTAATTTTGGAGGCGTGTCCACAATATCTTACAGGCTCTTTCGCTTTACCTCGCCTGCCTGAAATGTCATGTTTAGAGCTTTTTGTTTTCTTTTTTTTTTTTTTTTCTGCTGAGTAATAGCACTCCTGGAGAACTGGGTAGACATAATCACTCGTACTTCTGTCGGTTGGCTCATCTGAGGTTTCATTACAGTACATGGAAGATACAAGGTCATGGGAGACAAACTGTCCTCTTCACCTTTGTTGGTTGGTGACATATGCTTCAGACTATGTGTGTGTATGGGGTGGGGGCGTGGGAGTCCCATCTGGTGTCTGAGAAAGACCTCGTTTTTTGATGGTGAAGATCAGAGATGCACCAGCTATACGACAGTGGAGATAATGGAAACGCAGCAGGACACATGGTCAGGTAGAGCCACTGTAAGTGGACAGCTCTCATTGCTGCACTCCCTATCAGCCCGGAGGAGGGGTCTCAGGGTGTTAGAGGTGTGAGGGTATGTTTTGCACTCTCTGTTGCTCAGCTGAGAGATTAAGTGGTGGCCAGTTGCTCAGAGGTACCCAGGCATCACCCAAGGGTGTGGCTGCTCTCTCAAACGACTTCTTGACCTTTATAAGGAGTAAGCTGCACTGTAGCTTTCTGAACTTGTTTTTACTTTTAGTTTTGTGTTGAGTTGTAAGAGTTTACAAGTCTAGGCCCCCTTGCCATTTTGGAGAAGGATCAGGATTTTCAGTTCATTCATATAACACACATTGACTGCGTAACATTATGAGCCTGGGGATATTATGTGCCTGCACATCACTGAGGCTGGGGATAAAATGGTGATGAAAACAAGGTCCTTTCCCCCCAAGAAATGAACACTCTAGCTAGAGACAGAAAGTAAACAGGAGATTTTTAATATGCTATGGTAAGTGCTCTGGACAGGAATGTACAGGCTTACACGGGGACTCAGAAAACAGACACTTTAGCGCAACTGGGACTGAGGGTAAGGAAGGCTTCCTAGGGGAGGTGACATCAGACCTGAGAAATGAGTAGGAGGCACCTGAGTCAAGAGGCTATAGGGAGGGTGTTCCAGGTGGAGGGAAGTATATGCTTAGAGATGAGGGAGTATGGTACTTTTTGAAGAACCTGTAAAGTGGGTAAATTAACATTCCTGTTTTAAGAAGAGAAAACCACCATGGCTAACTTAGGTTAGTATTTTGCTCAGGGCAGAGTCTGCATTTTAATGAGACTATTTCAGTGTTTCCTGGTGCCTCAAAGAAAGCACCTAGGACAGGACATCTGATTGCCACCTCTTTTTAAAAAGAAATTCATATGTTTGTTTTGGTTTGTATTCAGTTACTCATTCTCAGGGTTCTGAAGAATCCACCCTAAGGTTCAGTGATTTCTGGTATTCATACCAGTATCGGGACAGATAATAGAAAGTAATTATAATAGTATCTTCTGTTTATGTAGCTCTTACTATGTGCCAATCGTTCTGCTGGATACTTAACATGTTGTAGCAGAGACTGGCTAAGTGCAGTCCCGTTTCCTCTTCCTGGGCACCCACAACAACTGTGTTTCCTAGCTTGCCTTGCAATTAGGTGGAGTATATGACTGGGTTTTAACCAGATGTAAAGTTGTTGAATTGATGGGTGCACCTCCTGGCCTGGCCCCTAACTCTGTCTTTGCTCTTCTGTCAGCCAGTGGAGGGGGCCCTGAGGAGGACTTCAAGGGGATGGAAGGAGTTTGTGTCCCTGAATTACCTCTTAGAGCAGAGCTATGTGAGAAAGACACCCAATCTACATTAGCCTGTGACTTGAGTGAGAATTGAGCTCTCGTTATATCTAGCCACTGAGATTTTGGAATTTGTGTTATAGCAGCTAGTGTTAACTACCCTGATTAACATGCAAACACTGTCTCACTTAACCCTTATTAGTACCCTGCTGGTTTGACATAATTACTAATGTTTTACAGATGGGGAAGTGAGGTCAGGGACTAGTTCACTTGTCTGTGTCACTCAGCCAGCGAGCGGCAGAGCTAATATTACAGCCCAGGTTTGTTTGACTTCTGAGCTCATGCTTTTACCACTATATAAACCCAATCTTGGAAGAGTTCTTGGAAAAGACAAATGTCTTGTGAGTTGAGAGAGAGAAAGAGAGAGTGAGGGTGGGGGAGGAAGAACAGCTCAGGGCTGAGTCTTGAGGGAAGAGGGGATGTGGGGGTCCCAGTGAACATGTGGGCAGAGCTGGGTAGACAACTTGCCCCCATGGCCACACTGGGAAATTTTTAGGACAACTTCTGAGCTTTAGATGGTTCCACTGTCTCATTTTCACTCTGCTTCATCTTGGTGTTCAGGTTGATGCTTCTGAATGGGCACCGCTGTGGGGTCAGGTGGGCATCTGAGTGGTAGGAAGTCCAGCTTGAGTGTGGTAACAGACCCAGCTTGCAGTTTCTGTCCCTGGACTGGTGATTAGGGAAGTGGTAGGCCTTGTGATCACTGTGTCAGAGCGACACATAACAAGGAGAGAGACCTCGATGGAACCGCCCCTGAGAAAAAAAAAACAGAGAAAAGGAATCTGCCTGGGGACACTTCGTCATCACTGGGTCAAGGAGAATGACAGATGTAAGGGGATGGGGCCACCAAGGACCAGTCCAGCCCCAGGAAGAGCTTTCTTGCTGTTGGTTACAGAATCTAATTAATGTCCACAGCCCTTCCCCATCTGCCTGGCTCTCTCCTGCCTGAGAATAAAAGAGCTCAGAAGGGACAGATCTCCCCTCCTAATGTTCCTCTCTCTTCTGTTCAGATGGTGGCTCAGACTTGAATGGGGGGGCATTTGAATTTTAGTTGGATGGGTGATAGGCCTCCCTAAAGGCTTTTGAGCAGGAGAGAGACATGGCAGATTTGTATTTTAAATAGAAGAGGAAACCCAGAGCATGGAGGTAACTAGCCAAGGTGACTCAGCTAGTTAGTGGCAGAATCAGATTCCTGGTCTCCTGGTTGAAGTTCAGCTCTCTTTGCCTGACATGCTTCGGCAGCTAAGCTTGTAGAACTTTGAAGACCCTGTGAGTTGTGTGTTGTATGTTGTGTGTTGTGTGTTGTGTGTCGTGCCTGCCCATCAGCAAAGAGGAAAGAGGAAGAACTACTGGTTTCCCAGGTGAGGGACCTCCCCTGCTAATTCTCTTGAATCAGCAGAACTGGGGCTAAGAGCCTTTTCAAGCCTACAGTCCGGGATTTCATTCTTGGTCAGGGGCCAAGGTTCACAAGGCTGCTGGGAGGAGCCTGTAGGCCCCGGAAACAGGAGATCTAGTTTGAGCCCCAGCTTGGCAACTGCCGGGTGTGTACTCTTGGACCAGTCCCTTTGTCATTAGCTAATGACAAGATTGAAATATTCCTAGGATGCTGTTAGGCCAGATACAGAAGTGTTCTGACAACTGATCAAGGCTCCCCAAATAAGAGGGTGTGGCTAGTGGAAATACTCAGCAGAAAGACCTCATACGGACTAGAGGGAGCCAGTCTGCTTTCCTGTGGTCTGTGCTCACATGTCCCTTCTCCAGGCTGTATGTTGTGTTGAGCCCCACCCCACCCCAGGACGACGGGGGCCTTGGACCACACTTGGATTCCTCCCAACCTCCAAAGTGATTTTTAAAAAGGTCATTTTATCAGGAGGGGTGAGGACCTAGTCCACTGTCATTGCTTTCATGAACCTGTATGCAAGACATTAAGAACAGAACATTGACAAAAGTATCGCATTTATTTCAAGAAATAGCTGTGTTTTCCTTCTGTAGTCCAGCTGACTGACTTCTCCAGTTTTTAGGGGTGTCATTGCCCTTTAATTCTACACTTAGTGACAGTCGGAGCTCCCATCCTGCAAATGGAGGAAGTTGATCTGCTCTTCGGTTTCCATTCCCGGATAACTTGAGAAGCCTCGCGTGCCCAGGGCTGTCTTGGCAGTCTCATGGCCCACCTCTCATGCTGCTGGCTTCTGTGCTGCAGGCTGCTCGCTTTGAGTGTGGACACAGGGCTCATAACATTTTGACATGCTGTTGGAAACTAACAGATGGCAGAAGTACCAAAGAGAGAGTTTTCAACTACTTCAAGAAATAGTCACTCGGAGCGCCCACCAGTTCAGTCGCATTCTGAAAACTTTCCTTAAGCATCTGGCTGTCACTGGGGCAGGGAGAAACCAGCTAGCTTCCCACCTTTGGAAATCTCCAGGCCTATCTGAACAACTTTCTTGCCCCCAGAGGGAGGCGAAAACTTCCTTCCCCTGCTCAAAG